CAAGTACCTTAGGAACTATGCAACCGGAGCTCCTATGAGAGACTGTTGTTGTTGTTTTCATGTGCCATCGAGTCAGACCCAACTCATAGCGACTTCTAGGGTTTCTGAGGCAGTATCACTACGAAAGTAGATTGCCTCATCTTCCTTCCGAGGAGTGGCTGGTGGGCTTGAACCACCAAGCCTTCTGGTTAGCAGTCAAGTGCCATAGGCACTGTGCTACCAGAGCTCCCCCTACAAGAGACTAGGTACTACTATTGAAACTACTGTTCTTTTGATCTTCCTTTTCACTATCCTTTATTGTTGTGGTTCTCAAAGTGTGGTCCCCAGACTAGCAGCATCAACATCACCTGGGAAGTTGTTAGAAATGCAAATACTCAGGCCCCACTCAAGACCTGCCAAATTAGAAACTCAGTAGGTAGCACCCAGAAATCTGTGTGTTTACAAGTCTTCCAGGAAATTCTGGTGTGTGCTAAAATTTGAGAACCACCGTTTTAGGACAATCATCCTTTGACTTCTTTTATATATCACTTTCTTCCTTGCTCCATTCTCCCTTCCTCCTCCTCCTTTTCCTCCTCTTCTGGCTCCTTTTTTTTTCCTCCTCCTTCTCCTCCTCTCTCGTACATATAAAAATTTATGTGTGTGTAATTTGTAAGAACACCGGCCAAGGGACATCGGATTACTCATATATACTTCATATATAACAATAGGGTTATTTACCAAATAACCCTATTGTTGATTTTGTATCTTTGCAGTTTTCCAATTGGTTCATGAAATTATTCATTACCCACTAAATTATCATATTAATTCGACTGCTTGCTTCCTTGAAAGTAATCATTCCAGTGTAAATCTTATATCTTCTCTCATTGTTTGTAAAAACATAGCTGTAATATTAATATGAAAACAGTGGCTAAGTTCCCCTTCTCTTCCCATGGTCAAAGGGGCTACATGATTGTAACAGGCAAAACAATTATACTTCATGTCTATTCACAGTCTTTGTGAAGCCTTAGCAATATGTTTTGCATTGCATTCCCAGACGAATTTAACCAGCTATAGAATGGAAAACACCTTTGTTTTGATTATCTATGTTTACTAGAGTCACTTACAGTTTAGGCATACTAAGATTAAGAACGACCACTCATCTGTCAGTTTGTCATAAAGTTGTGGCTTGCTGTGAGGCTGAAGGCTATGCCATCAGTATTTCAAACACCAGTAGGGTCACCCATACTGGACAGGCTTCCG